TCTAAAAAACCACAATATATATTATATTCAAAATTAATCTAATTTATTATTAAGAATATAAATTAAAGGGCACTTGAATTTAATGATTCAATGGTTATATGTCTCAAATGTATTCTCCGTTTTAGGGCTAAGGTCCAAATTCTCCCTCTCCAAAATTGTAATTTGTTCAAAAAAAATATAAACTAAAGGTATGATAAATACAATTTTAATAATTAATTTATATAAAAATTAATGTTTATGTTAACATGATTAACATTTAGATTATTTTAATTAATTAATTAAATTAAAATTAAAATTTATACTTTTAATAAAAATTAATTATAGAAAATATATCAATTATACATTTTACTTGTATCATAAAAACACAAAATTAAAAAACTCATATATTTATAATGTTAAATGATGTACCGGATGAACGGCCGCTCTGTGCTAGTGGTATTGGACTCTGGGTTAGGACTGTTTATCTCTGTAGGTTGCACGTTCGAATCCCACGGAACCCTTTTACTCCCTCCCCCAATTAACCCTGTAAACCCTCAATTAACCCTGTAAATAATTATAAATTATTAAAAAAAAAAAATGATGTGCCAGATATCTAATTGCATTACTAATTTTTGTCGTGAGGCTAATGGTTGCCCTTCGGTCCGCCTCCTAGACACGGTAACTGTAACAGCAGGAATATTTCTTCATCCACGCCTAAAAAGTTTATTATCAATTTTTCTATATCTAATCTTCTCTGATGCAATCCTCGTTCTATATCAGGCTCTGATGCAGTCTTTCTTTTGTATCACAATTTAAATTTTGGCTTAAATTAAACGTAATAGAAATAAAGTAGGAGCACACATTAGACTTTCATTGGGCCAGACATGGGGTTATAATTGGGTTAAAGCCAACTGTCATCCGTCTACTTTGTGAAAAAGGTCAATTTTACCCTCATACTATGGAATCACCGCAGGTCATCCCTCTACTTCATTTTGAGCCCACATGTTCTCCCTCTACTATTCAAAAAGTAATCAATTTCATCCCTCCGTCACTGTTAACCTGTAAAGCTTAACGGTTTGACGTTTAACATATATTTTTATATTATTCTTTCTTCCAATTTGACTATAATAGGATACACCAATGCCACATTATATTCCATATTATTATCTTTTTACATTAATTTTGTACCAACTTTTTTTTCTCAATTAATAGTTATGTTTATTTATTTCTTTTTATTAACTTTTTAATTGAGTCAATCACAAGGACATTTTTCAAAAGTATGGTACGTAATCAAGTAAATTTATTTTTTTAAAAGGAAATAGATTAAAAATTTTGAATTTTATTAAGGTTCAAAAAGATTATAACTAGAAAAAGAAAAATTCCTAATGGTTATTACTATTCTTTTAACTGTAAGTTTTGGGGGGTTTAAGAGAGTTCATAATTTTTTATTTTATTTATGTACATAGGGGCTAAGCAAGTACATGGATGAAGTATTCGTCTATATTTGTATTTAATTTGAAAATTAGTAGATATAAAATTTTACTATTTAGTATTTACTCAAGTATTAAAAATTTATCTTTACCATTCAACTCATTGAGTATAAGTATATCCGTAAATGTGCTTATTTATTTGTTGAATATTATAACCTTTTAATACAAATTAAAATATAATTAAACCTATTGCAAAACATATAATATAATTCATACACAATATATAAACATAAATTTTATTGAATGCAATAGTTTGATATGAGAAGTATGTCCTTCAAATAGTCTAGATATAGTCTAGATAAAGATTAGTCTCAAGATGCAAAAAGTTGATTTGGAAACACTTTGATTATAAATATCAAAAAATAATACAAAGATAGAAAAAAGTATATGACTTTATACTTATAATAAAGTACATAATTAAGTTGAAATTCAAACACAAAAGGTACTAATTAAGGATTTAGTGCTTTATTTTATATATGTCAATTTTTATTTATCAATTTTTGGAGACAAATATTTTTTGAATTT